TTCTACAATTTTGTTGCGCCTTTCTCTTCGTTCCATTTAGAGAACGAAAGGGTTGGCCCCTTGAACCAAGGTTTTAGGCTCCTTAAAACTTTATGCAGAGGTTCCTCCAAGGCAGAAGAGAAAGGAACTCCCCTGGGAAAGTTTCCAGCAGGAAAGTTCAATAACGTCCATGTTTTCGCCACCCACCTCTGGATTCCTTTAACATCAATTCATTGGGGCTGAAATCTTCCCACAAGTGATAACCTCAGGGCATTTTCAAGGAAGGTAAAGTGTGTACCACCCACAGGGATGGAGAATGGAGCGGAAAGTGGAAGGGAGATACGAAGAGGAGCGAGCAGAGGATTGGAAGCAACCTGTGGAGAGGTATCGTAATGAAAGGCCTTCTGCAATTTGAGAAGTTGGGTGTATGTTTCGTAGAGAGAGGGATAGGTGCATGGGGATATTTAGGACGAAAGGGGTTAGAAGAAAAAGGGTAGCGAGAGGGAGCAACGTGACCAGCGTGGGGAGTCTAATGGGATGGACGGGAAGGGCGGGATGGGCGGAGAGGAAGGGTGGGAGCCATTTCAGAGGGTGAATTTCTTCTTATACATTTTTATACACCCCACAAAGTAGCAGCAGTAGGGGGAAGATTCAAATATGCCGTATGGCTTAAAGTTACATAAGTATTATTAGATTTAATTGTCTCGTAGGAACCGCATAAACAAAAATTTTAGGAAGACAATTTACTAAATACAAACTCAAAACAGAGAGGTGTTCACCTAATGTCAACAGTTTCCAAAAAAGAAAGAAGAGGTGTTAACCATTTTCTAGGAAACTAGCATATTCTATACTTTAGATGGGCACCACTAAAGATCTTCTCCTTAACTTGTCACTATGTCGAAGTCATTGCCCCCTCATAGATTCTCCACCCTGGTCGCCATAAATGCCACATCCATCTATTGCATATAGCTCATTAAAGAAACTCAACAAGATTCAAAACCCAATAACTCTATTACCTTGGCCAACACTCAACCTAACTATTGCCCCCCTTAGGTCCACATCCAAGACATGCAAAGAACTGCAAAATTGAGCCCCTATTCTCCGGGAAAACTACCCCGACTCATGCGCCTTAGCATATTCTATTTTTCCAAGGAAAACAAGCACCAAATTAAGTGAACCCTAATCATGCCACCAAGTAAGCCCCCAAAAGGGCTTTCTAGACAATGCCTCAGCACATCATATGATCACCGGACTTGCATCCCCTATTATGAGCTATTGCTAACTAGCAAAAGACAGGAAAGCAAAAGTTGTTGCCTGCCATCTCTCAAAATTCTGTCCCCACTCCTCCAGTGACCTCTCTTGAATGCCCCAACCTTAAACTTGCGATATCTTCCAACCCATGAAACCTATCAGACCCTCCACAATTTACCAAAAAAACCACTCATTCCTTACAAATACTCTATAAACCAAACTCAACCTCATGATTCCAAAGCCCCCAACCCACTCAAGCTTGGGCACCTACTCCCCTGAGTCCAATTTGCCAGCAGAAAGTGAGAATCTTGAATCCCTTTCACCCATCAGCCTTAAGAAAAAGTTTCACAATACACCCTCAAATCCATCATCCTCTAGCACCAAAATACTGGAAAAGAACATGAACTAAATACGAAGATTGTGCATGTCTGCCTTAATTCTTAAGCAACCTAATTATGTCCCCAAATTAAAGAAGCCTGCATTCCAAATTTTATAAAATCTATCAGTCAGATACCTCCCACATCCACTATCTCAATAACTAGTGGGCTACCTAAAGTCCACCATTCGATAACCATTCAAGATCTCGGGATAAGCTTGGATACGTTGCTTTTTCATTTAATCTAATGAAGGCCATTCACAGCTTAGAATCCTTTGCTGAAGCCCACAACGATCTTAAAAGTTCCTCAGACTTTAACAATATCGTACTAGAACTGCAGCCCAACCCAACCCTGCCCCCAACCATAGCCACAAGAAGAACATCGGTCTTCCTCCTCATACCAGCCATTCAATTGTGAAAAGGTGTGATCCTTGCTTCTTCCAGCAACCACCACAAACTTGACTTTCATGTACAAGTCCAATATTTCAACCACGTACGAAGGAACTCCAGTCTCAGATTCTTTCTTCCTCTTTGAGAAAAGATGACAACAGAGAAATACAAGGAGAAAATGTGAAGTCCAAAAAGAGTCCACCAGGTATGAAGAACATCCCAGTTGCAAAAACAAAGGAATAGAGAAGAATAAAACAGGAAGGTCCAACAACTTCATTCCTCCCATAGCCAATTATCAAAAGCCTCACTGGCACTACATGATTGAAGAAAATTGGGCATTCTCCTCACAGCCCAAAAACATCTGCAAAGACAGATCCCACCTTCCATAGGACGAGTTATCTTCTTCATAACCCAATGAATCACATCAAAATTGTGTCCTTATAATGGTGAGAGGGAACACATTAGGAAAGTCCTTAGCAAAAATTAGCCTTCCCTTCCACCTCCAAACCATTTAAGGATCTCACTTTTGACAAATCATAACTCATCCTTTCAGAGGCTGCCCCACCTAACTCCTTCAAGTTGGCTAAGGCAGAATATTTCTTAAGATAACGTTAAACACCCATACACACAGTCTAATCGAAAATTGAATCGCTGCCTCAATTGAAAAATCAAATACAGTCACTACCATGACATTAGTTATTTGACTATTGGACAGGATAAACACCAAATTTTGAGACTGAATGGAACACAATTTCGGAAAAACTACTCCTAAATATAATTAGCAAAGCCCGACAATAGGACCTCCAAAATTTTAAAAACTAAAAAATAAGTATCCAACACACTAAACATAGTATCCAGACTTCTTCAATCAACCCATTATAAATCATGCGAACAAAACCCAAACATGGCTTGTGAAAAACATGTCATGTTCAATAGAACAAGAAGTAAACAAATAACAAGTGGTAAGTTCATATTGCTATACAAAATGAATTTCTTTAGAACAATATTAAGACTACCTGGCTACTTCATTGACATAGAGCCAAAACAAGAGCCATTCTTCAAATACTGATTGGATGTATGTTGTCCTATCATCATCATTTGAGACTTATCCCAACTATTTAGAGTCAGCCACACAAATCCTATTCCATTATGATGCTTTATCAATGGCCAAACCTTCCATTAGACCATAATTCACCATATCTCTTCTCACTACTTCCATCCATGCCCCTTTGGGTCTTCCCCTTGCCCTTTTAGAACCTTCCGCTTAAACCAAATCACGTCTCCTAACCGGAGCTGCATTAGGTTTGCAATGTATATGGCCAGCTCACCTAAGTCTACTTTCCCTCATTTATCGCTTATTGGAACCACACCTAAGTTCCCTCAGATTTATTCATTCCGATTTCTATCCTTTCTTGTCTTAACACTCATTCATCTCAACATCTTCATCACAGCTACAATCATCCTATGGATATGTTGTTTTCTGACTGCCCAACATTTTGTACCATGAAGCATGGCTGCCATTACAGGCACCCTATAGAACTTCCCCTTCAGTTTCATTAGTAGACGATGATCATATAAAACTTCGTATGCATAACTCCACTTCGCCCACCCATCTCGAATTCTATGCGTGATATCTTCCTCAATCTCTCCATTCTCTTGGATTATCTATGCAAGATATCAAAAATAATCTCTTTTAGATATTTCTTCACCATTGATTTGATATGTGTCATTAGCATTAATATTGAAAAGGGCGTTCAAAACAAGCAAAGGGCACGACCATTTTTCAGTTAGAGCAGAAGTATAACTTATATGAAAGTTTTAGTCCCACATTACCTAAAGACAAGCCTCTTTATGGTTTTATAAGTGGGAAGGATCCTTAGATCTCTGGAGGCTTGGAAGAGAGAGATATTTGGGGCTTTCTCGATGCTTTCAACCTGTTCAGCCAAACCGTTTCATCACCCTTTGACTGCGGTTGAAAGAAAAGTCGATCCTTCTCACAGCAGTGAAGTCTTCAAAGGCCTTTCAGAGCATTTCTTAAACGTCATGATTTTTTTTGCAACAGTTAAGGCTTTTGACAATGGCTAACCCTATTGACGGCAGTTACTTTTTCTATCCTCACCGCCTATGAGCCTTATTACATGTCCTAAGTCTTATACATGTCACTCTTATAATAAGGGTTGACACAAGATTTCCACGCATCCTCCACCATGTCAATAGCCAAACCAATACCTCTCTATAAGTACGCGATTCAAAATTGATTTTTGAGTTTTCTTTCCATGTTTTACATTTTCACTATGGTTTAAACGGAAGAGCCCCTGTAATTTGAGATTTGTCTAGCCCAACCCTTCAAATTTTAATCAAATTGAAGCTTGACTTAAGCCAAATCTGTTCAAGGGCGAATCACAATAAGAGGTCTGTGCAGTGATTCGTGAGTCTTGATTGTATCCTGGAGGTGTTCTCATCATGATCCCATTACATCTTGGATACTCCAAGTCATGGGCATTAAATACCTCGAAAGAAATGTTTTCGAACCTGGCTCCGTGTTGAAATTGGTCACTGACCTGGCCAAGTTAAAAAATTTGGGCGGCATCCGAACGGATTTGAACCCTCCAGTGAAATGCATAGACCATAATTGCTAACCAAAAGGCCATTGACCAGCAGTTTGTAATAAGAGGGGCATAGTCATTATTTATTGAAACATATATTGTACTCAGCCTTGCCCTTAGGGCGAGTCCAAGTAAATCACCGGAGTCCGATTTGGCTCCCCACTGGTCACAACAAAATAACCGACAACAAAAACTATAGTAGCAATAGCAAAAGAAGACTACCATGATACTAGGTTATCTCAACCGCCCTTGCTCTAATATAGTTGTAGCAATGACAATAAAAGTGCTCACATTACTTAAAAGACAAATGGAAGTAGCAAGAACAATAACAACGATCACAATAACACTAACAACAAAACAAAAGCAATAGAATGACAATACATGTATAATGCAAGTACCAGTCTCTTTTGATGCAGCCTTGGCTGCTCGTTGTGCCTCTTGTAGAGCACGCCTCTCGGCTTTTGATGTTTTCTCTTTCAACGGCTTGGAACTCATAGAATGATTAGTCTCCACTTCTCCTGCTCCTATCAAAGCAATTCCCATATGTGACCACCAAATTAAAAAGCTCAAATTATTAAAGCAAATAGATAAATAATACCCATTAAAGAATATAAAATCCTAGAAAGAACATATACCAATCCACTACTGTCAAAGCAACCCCTGAATCAATGTTCAAAAAATCACCCGCCCAACCGCCTAGGCGACCAGCAAGTCTTATCGTCCTGCCCTGGAGCTATATGGCCCTGGGCGTGGCTGTAGGCCAAGGTGGATAACAAGCTGCCTGGGTAGGCACCAAGCTCCAACTGCCCGGGTACCTGCCCTAGGCCCTTTTGGTGAGCTGAAATTAGGCCAAAAGGTTTTTTGGGGTAATGGAATGTGTTGAAGTTGAACATTATTTGAAATGCTTATGGATGTACATTTATGCTAAAGTTTGGGGGAATTTTACAGTTTAAAGTTATGTGTGTATTTTCGCTTAAATAGCTAATGCATATCAAAATCTGACAATCTTACAGTTTGATATTTTTAAACATGTAAATTTAAGTTTATAAGAAAATAGATTCCATAATTGACAAACCCGCACCCCACTTTTGTCACCCCACCTTCACCCAGTACACAAAGTGGCTGACCTGTGCCCTAGGCCGCTGCCATGGTTGGGAATCCCAACCGCCTAAATGTCATAAAGAATAAAATAAAATACCAATTAGATATAATAAATAAAATGAGCCTCACCTCGCCTTGGCAGTGGCATTTTAACCATTGACACAGCAGTCAAATTGCTCGAAAAGGGAAAAGAAGATGCAAGCTGAGGCAATTTATGCCCAAAATCATCAGCCTTCGTATTTGAAATAGTGCCAGAATTCGTCCTATCAATCCACCGAGGCGAAAACTCATCAGAGAGATCAACAGAGGGAATACCACTATAAGGGTTATCATCATCATTCCGACTTGAGGGTGATATCGTAGGAGAAGCACCAAGTAAAGAATCAGAGGGGTTATAGCTCCCTAAAGGCATGTTATCACCAATTGAAGGCCTTCGAAGAGGAGATGGAACAGGAACTGGTATAGCATGCCTAGGAGGAGGAATCATAACGGGAGAAAGAGAATTCCCACTTGGTGTGAGTTCAGAACTCGAAGAAGCCATGGATGACGACTCAATGATGTGTTTCATGGGCTCTGATGATGCACCAGGAGTAACAAACCCTACTTGCCTCACTTTTGGATCAATCACCATTCTTGATACTCGCCTTGCATCCATAGAAGCTCTCTAGCTAGGGTTTTAAGTCCTTTTTCATTAGAGAAACATGCTCCATGAAAGCTTCTCGTATTCTCCAGTGCAATTGCTAGTGGGCGAAGATGATTCCTTTCTCTCTTACAGCTACAGCAAAAAATCTTCCTACGACGCAAACGAGAAGGCAGTCATTCCAGCGGGAGGGATTACCGAACGGTGGTAATCTATACTATATGCGTTTGCGGAACGAGTTCCTGTAACTTTTTTGGGTATTCCTTCCAACAGAATTGTTATCTAGGGTATTCAGAGGCGTTTTATTTAACAGGAAAAGCTCCATTGAAGAATTTCGAGGTTCCATGGCCGTTGAAAAGGAAAACGGAGAAATTCGCAGGTTTAAGGGAAATTCTCCATTGAAATTGAGAGAGAGTGAGGTTTCTTAAAATGGTTATCTAGGGTTCAAAGGAGAAAGCGATACTCATCGTTTGATCCTTGTCCGTGGCTATCGAGTTTTAACGTCGACAACGACTGCATTAACCTTGGATGGATAAATAAACCCCCTCGACTATTACGTAAATAAACTCAATTTGTGAAGGAACAAGCTTTAAGCGTAGGGCCTTGTAGATGTAATAAAAGTTCACTTTTGGTTGTATATAAAGTTTTAATTTTACGTTATTAAATCCGAGTTAATAGGTTGACTCGTCCCGCAAAGATAAAAAACGACTCACTTTTAAAAAAAGCAAAAACAAAAAACACATAGAAAAGTGAATGGAAGGAGGCGTGATGTGGGGTAAATGATTCTCTTTGGAAGAAATATATTTTCCACTTACGTCAAGAAGAGAGGCACGCACAAATTAGGACATAAATTCTTGATTTTGCATGCTCTTATATTTATGGATAGGCATAATGGTTATAAAAATTAAAATTTATCTACTTTCCATTTTGGAGCCTATGTGGTAATTTCAATTAGCATATATCTATCTTATGGAAAGATATTTATACCAAATTGGTAGAATGATAGGGGAGAGGGACCGGAATTAGCTCTCTCAAAATATTTAGGAGGCGTAGGTTAAATGATTTTATTTAGAAGAAATGTATTAACTTATCCTAAAATGTTAGGTGGAGAGCGATACGCACAAATTGTAAGGACTTACAGATTCCAGGTCTTACATGTTATTATAATTTGAATTGGCATGGATCCACTTTATCCGTGTAGATATTTATGAACGTTATAAGAATCAAAATTTAAAGGCAGTGGTTTGCATAAGGTTGCAATCTTAAACAATCCAATTAAGGTGCATCTCTAAATTTTATCACAAACATAATTTTGATGTGAAAAAAATCTTAGGATGGCTTGAGAATCTATTTTTCTCTAAATATAAAAGTTTAAACTTTATAAATGGTTCAAATCAAGTAGATCTAAAACACATGAAAATCTTGAAAATGGGCGGTTCAGATAATGTGCTGCAAGATACACTATTTCACGGACTCAAAATCTTTTTTTCTTTTTATATTCATAGATCTTGATGTCGAGATGATCAATTAGAGAGTTTTCTAACAATCCAAATAACCTTTTATGATGGATTTTTTAGGTGCATCTTTGATTCTACATTTTAAGGTTGCAACCTTATATAAACTTTTTCCAAATTTAAAATAACGTATACATATGTGGTAATTTGAATTAGTATATATCCACCTAATGTAAAAATATTTGTTCCGAATTAAGATAAAAATATATCAAAGAGAAACAAGAATTAGCAACTTATCTCTCTCTTAATATTTAGGAGGCATATTCTTTTCCCTTCGTCACTTAGTGTGACAGTAAAAGGCTCAAGTAGCTACTGCAAGAGCGTGGGTTCGAGTCTTGAGAGCAATGACTTTGTGCATAAAAAGCCAAAGGTTAAGATCGTTCCAGCTCACCCCTCCCGAGACCCTACATAGGCAGAACCACCACTGAGTTACAGCCCTATTCTTTTCCCTTCATATTCTCTGCCATTAATTCCGGTGAATATAGACTTCTCTTAGATAGCATCAGTAGGAAAGATATGCATTGATACTATAAATAGTAGTAGAGAGAAAGGGAGGAAGAGAGATAATATATAGTGAGACTTGAGTGAGAGAGGGAGAGAGATAGTGAGAGAGAAGAGCTATGGAAACCGAGACTAAATAATTGGAAAAATTACAAATAACTCTCAATAATAGATTTCCTATACAACTTACCCCTAACCAAACTTTTTTTCTCACTTTTTACCCCAAAATATACTTTCCTAGCAAATACCCCCAAGTAAAAAAATGCACATTTTTTGATGAAAATACCCTTTTTCGTGCATAAAGAGTTAATTTTGGTAGGACATTCACGTGGGCTTACGCACAGTACCAAAAGCTACATGGGCTGCCAAACAGGCATGTACCAATTGTTGGACCCCGTTAAACTAAAAAAAGTGTCAAACCACTCTTTAACATTGTCAGACCGCTCTTTAACATTGTCGGACCGCACTTTGGACCTGTTGTCAGACCGCAGGGGCCTATTGCCGATCTGCTCTTTGGCAGTATCGAACCGCTCTTTGGCAGTGCCGGACTGCATGGGCCTATTGCTAGACCATTCTTTGTCAGTGCCGGACCGCTTTGTTTATATTGTCGTACCACTTTTTTATGTGTTATAGGATAAGTAGTCAGTGTTAGAAGAGAGAGAGGGCATTCAGGTCTTCAATCTATAACTTTTTTACTAGGGTGTATTTGCTAGAAAAGTTTGGTTTGGGGTAAATGTTGTGATAAAAAAATTGGTTGGGGATAGGTTGTAAAGGAAGTTAGGTCAACGGGGTTTTCTGTAATTTTTCCTATATATTTTAAGTGCGTTTTGTATAGAGTCGAGGCTTTAAACAATCAAATTAGAGCCCACCTTCAAATAGTGTCGAGAAATATGATTTTAATACTATAAAATTTTGTAATAGCCTTAATATGTATTTTAATATTTAATTATAAATTTGAAAACTTTAAAAATAGTGTACATCAAGCATATATGTGAGAACTTAAAAAACTTGAAAATTGATGGTCAAAAAATGCGTTACAAAATGTATTGTTTCTAAAACTTGAAATCCATTTTTTTTCTCATGTCCAGGCATCTCGATGTCGAGATGATCAATTTGATGATATTTTGGCATCAAAACAACCTCAAATCCTCTCATGCTCAAAGTTCAGAGTTTGAATCCTAAGAGAGCTTTCCTTTTTCAAAAGTCTGTCCTTTTTTGTATTTTGATAGAAGCATTTAAAACGGAGAGAGAATGTATAGAACGAGACCATTTACCTTTAATACAAGGTGGTCACATTAACCTTGACCATTGAATGTGCCATTAGATGGTTGCAATTATTCCATCGACCAAGTTCAAACTTCAAGAGAAGTTTTTTCAAACTTTGTGATACATCCAAACTATCAAATTTCACATCAAATGGTTATAAGGAATTGTGACCACCTTGTATCGAAGGTAAATGGTCGCATTGTATACAATCCCTAAAAACAAAAGTAGGCGACTGTCACCATATTCCACTGCAAGTGGGCATCACGGTGTGACCAAGCTGCCATTACCTATTTGCTGTTAAAATATTGCACATAAATTATACATATTCTATTTCGTCCTTGATTTTATTTTTTTAAAGAAATGAGATTGCTTTGGTGAGTTACTCGGACTTGCCCGAGAAATTTGCCTTGGCCAGGGCGCAAGTACATTGGCTGAGTCGATTTTTTGAACCTTGATATGGAATATGAGTTTTGAAACACTTAGATCTTAGGGAAAATTACAAAACAACCCCAAGACCACACTTTCTATGCAACTAACCTCCAACCTAATTTTTTCTCTCATTTTTTTCTCCAAAACAAACTTTTTATGCAAATAGCCCCCAAGGGAGAAAGTTCATTTGATTTAGATGGAAATGCCCTTCCCATACATAAAAATCATTTTGGCTAGATTTAACGTTACCCCAGTAGCACATTGCCGGAGTGCACCATCACATTACCGGAGCACACAAGTGTCGGACCACCCTAAGACATTATCGGACCGAAACTGAGTATTGTCGGACCGCTCATTACATAGTGCTGAAGCCCTGAAATTCAGTAACATCTACTGCCGAGCCTCTCTTTAAAACTGCCAGACCACACTTTACGTAGTGCCAAAGCCCTACTGCCGGACCGCACTTTACATAGTGCCGGAGCCCTACTGTCGGACTGCACTTACAAGTGTTGGAGCTCCTATTTTGGTGGGATAGAGTAGAGAGAGGTGTGGGTAAGGTTTAGGCTTCTCTTTTTTTTTGGTTGGGGGGTTATTTGCATAGAAAGTGTATTTTGGGCAAAAAAGTGAGAGATAAAATTAAGTTAGGGGTAAGTTGCATAGAAAGTGCAGTCTTGGAAGTTTTTTGTAATTTTCCCAAATATATATATACTTTCAAAATTTTCTACAGCCAACTCACCACAAACTTGTATCATTGACTCGGGCCTACTCGGCCTCTGTACTATGGCAAGGCCGAGTCATCTCGGTCGAGTCTAAGAACCATGTTCCACATAAATTGGATGGCTACAAAAGTCAATATTTATCATTTCTGGGACATTTTACCTTCATCAAAGTCACCCTTTCTATTCTCCCACTGCATTACTTCTCTTTATATAAGGCTCCAACTTATTTGGTGAAGAGGCTTGAAGCCATGGTGAGAAACTTCCAATGGAGCAGATCACAAGAAAATAATAAATTTAATCCCTTCAAATTGAATGTCATGTCTTCCCAAAAGAGAGGGAGGGTTGGGAAATTACAAGTAGCCCATGAGTCTTCTTATTAAGTGGTGGTAGATGCTAAGTTATTAGAATAGTTAGTTATGGGGAGAGAAAATTATGGAGAAGTATGGCACAGACAACAATTGTTCATCACAAAGAAGCTACCCAAAGAATCCTCTACTTCAACAATATCGAAAGGGATTGAATTAGTGAGGGCGTTGTTCTTAGCTCACAACTAAAATATGGTTGGTGATGGTAGAAAGACTAAGTTTTGGTCCTCCAAATGCATAGGTGACTATCCATCAAAGCTCCAATTCCTAGAGTTATATGAACAATCTGCACGGAAAAACTCCTCTATTGTTGCATTTATATTTAGAGATGCAAACTAGGCAGTATGGGACATTAGATTTAATGTGCAAAGGGTGAATTAAACAATGAAACAACAATACACGACCTTTATGAAATTATGCAGCTACTTCTACTCTCCTAGAGGATATAATAGATTGATATAGAAACTAAATGATGGAAATGTGGCCTATCATGCCATTTTTCTCCCTGAAATTCATTTTTTTAATAATAGTACAAAAGCCATATTGAAGTATATGTGAAATTTCATGTGGTTAACATGCGACAATGCCATATATATTGATCCATTTTTTAGCTTTAATACGATTTATCACTGGAGGGAAAAACCCCATATCACTAGAGGGAAAACCCAGTGGTGTGTTTGGATTCCTTGTAAATTGTGGAAATGCTTGGATGACATCCTATTATATGATTCATTAGTGGGTTAATGACAGGTTTAGCTCATTACAAATGATTAATAATTTGGTGACAACTTGTTAATCATAATTAGCTGAACTTAAGGGAATTAAGACATGAGTTATACTTGGATCTCAACTCCTATAGACCATGAATGTGAGTGTTACTAAATAAAGGTGTTTTATATAAAAGGAGGTCAACCCCTCTAGAAAAAAAAGAGAATAATAGAAAAGAGGTGAAAGAGATTCACCAAATAGTGCTCTCAAGGTTGTTTGTTACCGTATGGCTTGGTCTATAGGATTTGGTATAGAACCTTAGGTCCCTCGTGTGATTTAAGGACAGATCCGAGTAAGTTGTTTGTTGATTTCAATGTTATTTATTTATTATAAATTTTATTGGGACTAACACTAAACCTAGCGGTACTTCTTATGATTATATATCTCTAAGGCCAAATCATAAGGATAGGCATATATAGATTAACATTAGTAAGGTATGGTCGCGTAAGGTGCCACTCAAGGTGGAAGCTTTTATATGACTATTAAGCTTGGATATAACTCTTATTGAGCAGTTATGCATGAGAGGTATGATGATAGTAAATTGTTTCCTAGTAAAAGAGATGTTGAAATAAATGCTCATCTTTTCATACATTGCTCATTGGCATTATCAATTTGAGTGCCCATCACACCAATATGAATGTGGAGGCAGATTCAACGAATGTCATTAATTGGTGCAAAACCTTGGAGAATTGGTTTGAAATCAGATTATGAATGCGATCCTACATGGCCTTCATGGACATGAAGTTGTAGTCAACCATGTTAACAGGGAGAGAAATGGGATTGTAGAGGCTCTGGCTAGGTAGCTACTAGGCCTTTAGTGTAATCGTTTATTTTATTGCTTCATTTATTTTCTTCTTTCTTCATTTTCCTTCTTTTGCTTTTTACTCTTGTAAGTTTCATCTTCTCAATGGAATCTTATCATTAAAAGAAAAAAGAAAAAAACAAATATCGGTTTTTTTTTTTTACTGTGAAATGTAGGCGAGAAGACTCGTTAAAATCTATTCCATCCCGATCTGTATTACCATCATCTTCATCATTTTAGCCTTTTCCCAATTATTTGGGGTCGGCTACATGACTCTTGATTCTCTATTATGCTGTATTAAAAGCCATATCCTCAGTGATGCCATAAGTCCTCATATTTTTTTTAACTACTTTCAACCATGTCCTTTTGGGTTTACCCTTTGCCCTTTTTCAATCCTTCCACTTGAACTAATTCGCACCTTTAACAAGTGTTGTACTTGGTTGGCATCATGCATGGTTAGCCCACTTAAGTCTACTATCTCTCATTTTATCACTTATTGGTGCACGCATAAATTCTCTTGAATAGATTCATTGTGAATTATATCTATTATTTTCTTGTCACTTATCCATCTCAACATCCTCATCTTCGCTATACTTATTATATGTATATTTATTTTTTGTCCACCCAACATTCCGTCCCATAAAACAAAGCTGGTCTTACTGCTGTCCTATAGAACTTGCCCTTTAGCCACAATGGTATGTGTCGATCACATAAAATTCCAGTTGTACATCTCTACGTCACCCACCTAACTCTAATTTTGTATGAAACATCTTCCTCAATCTCTCAATTTTATTGGATTATCAACCCAAGATATCAAAAGTGGGGGTCTTTTTTGTATTTCTCGACCATCAATCTTAACTACTTTCTCGTCTTTATTATTATTATTATTAAATTTTCATTCCATATACTCTGTCTTAGTCAGACTAATTTTAAAACCTTTCGATTCTAGAGCATCCCTCCAAAGTTCTAACTTTGCGTTGACGTTGTGTCAGGTCTCATCAATCAAAACTATGTCATATGCAACTCATCCTGTAGGTGTCTAGTTAAGTCGTCCATAACTAAAACTAAGAGGTACATGCTCAATACTGACCCTCGATGTAGACTCTTTCTTTATGCAAACTCATTATTTGAATGATCAGTAAAGTAAGTTCCATAAAAATCTATGAGAAATTAGTCTCGGGAGAGACTTCTTTCTTGCATATCATTTGGCCAGGGGTTGGCTCAAATTCGCATAAGACCCAAAAGAAAAGAAAGCTTGTGCAATCAACAAGGAAAATAGGTGGAGAGCTCTTAAAAAGGCTTTAAAACAGGAAAAATAGGAAAAAAAAGAAAAGATAAAAAAGATAAAAAAAGAGAAACGCAACCAAGAAAAGCAAGTAACTAGAGGAGTCTGGGCAACCTATTAGCCCTTGAACTTTGTCGCATGGAGCATTCGATGTGGTTACAAGAACTCTAACCAAAATTTTCACCTTATTCTTATTTTCAAATTTGATTTCCCTATAAATGGATGCATTTGAGGAATATTTTGGGGATTATTCCTAAAATTGGACAATGATTTGGGGTGTAGACTAAAGTTTTAGGTTGTCCAATAGTTCACTATACTAGCGTGGCCCTCAGGGTTTAAGGTCATGAGTTGCAAGTTTTTGAGAAATCCGTCAGGGTATGTCTACCATTTACTTTTAAAATTTCATTTCAGAAAAGTATTTTGACAAAACTCAAACTGCATTATTCCAAAATCTTAAATAACCAGGGCATTATAATAATTAACCTAAGTAGCTAAAACCAAATTACAAAATACCTTGGTTGTAAGTATTTTTACAATTTAATAATTTAATGATCATTATCCCGTGACATAATTTAGCTTGAGCAATTTAAAAGAGCCAACTTATCCAAAGATCCCTAACTATTTACAAATTTCAATTTAGCTAATTTAAAAAATTTTAACCAAGTTTTTGAAGAGATGCTTTTATGAAACTAACGTATGTATCGAACTTTCTTTCAAGAGTCTTCCATGATTGGCCCTCCACTTCTTTTTCTCTTCTATCGATATCAATTTTTTAAAATCTGTACATCGATATCAATATTTTAAAATCTGTACAGATGGGGTTGATTGTTCACTCATCGATCTATGTCAAATCGTTGGATTGACAATTTGGATTGTCTTGATCGGTGTTCCAAAAATATAAAAAATAAATAAAACAAAATAAAATAAAAATAAAAATTTATAATGTTAAGTTTTATTGGACTTAAAAAATTAAATAATATAAAAAAATATAAAAAAAGAGGTTTTAGGAGTGAACTCAACCGAGACTCGTACCATCCAGAACCGGTCTCGACAAATTCCCATCCCAATCGACGATCCCGATGGGATATAGCCAGGATGTAAAACGCTGGTCCGGTGACAATTACGGTGTAACCTTTTCTCGAGAGCCTCCCATAAATACTCTTTCCCTTCGTCTCTGTCCACACGCCTGTAGGAACTGCACACATCTCTTTCTCTCTCTCTAGAGTGAAGACACCCCTTCTCTCTCTATCTCAAATAACCAGAAATGAGGCCTAAGTCTAATCTAGCTCTCTCTTAGATTAAGCCCTAGTTTCGTAGGTCCAGGACCCATAAAAATGGGTTCCTGTTTGAATCCATGTGCACATTTATTGTTGGTAAACAATAGGTGGAGGCTGAGCTATGACAATGTGTTCCCTTCTGGTTATTTCAGTCCAAATTGGTCCCTTAAAGTTTATGTATCAAAGCAGAGAGGCCTTCGGTTTTCGCCTAATGCTTCTTCATATGCAAATGTTAAAGCCTCCTGGATAGTTCCAGATCGAGACAAGGCTGATGCATATGGTGGTTGGTTTTCTGATAGCATGCCAAAGGAGAAAAACCAACGAGGTGTTTTTTCTTTCCTTTCTTTTTTAAACTTTTTTTTTTTTAATTTGATGTATGATTTTTTTTACGAATCGTGGCATTTTTTGGCAATTCGATCAATTAGTGATCAGCATCATTAGTTTGTAAAGGAATTTAGGTTTTGAATGTGGCTTTTCGATTTTTAAAAAAGGCATATGTTCAGGAAAGATGGTATTTTGTGCTATGCCTATTGTTTTAGTAGTGATTGTGGGAGAAAATGGGTATTATGTTCTTATCCATTGAGCTGCCTAATATGACGTAGAGAGCTGTAGTGGAATTATAACAAGCTTTGTTTACAAAGTTAAGCTTGTAGTTTGGGTTATTTTTTCACTAATGGAGTGCAATACAATAGCTTGTTAGCTCATGGTAATTTGTCATCGCTTGGAAGGCCTTAATAAACCACTTTAATGTCGCAAACTGTATACAACATGTGAATGGGCATTATATTTGTAACAGATTTTCTCTGGAACATTTTTCTTGAAGTCCACCGAAGCTTACGCTTAACATGGTATTTGTCTCCAGGCTGGGGGTTTTGACAAATTATTTATTTTTCTTCTTTTACCCTTGTCAGGTATTCTATATGTGGGCATTGGGGCATCTGTTTGGATTTTGCTTGCTGCTTTGGCTCACTCTGCATTCTCAAGCAAAGGTAACAATTCAGCAGAAATTTATTTTATTTGGCAATATATTCTGATATGGGTACTTCCTTACATCTTAGACTGGTGGAATAAATACTCCAAGCTCTTTTCAAGCACAAGTTGTTTGTGTTTACATATTGAAAATCGATAACTAAAGTGAAGATCCGTGCTTATACAACTGATCATTATACTTCTTTCATGGGGAGAAGTGTTGGTATTACTTACCCAAAAAAAAGAAGTGTTGGTATTCTGCAGCTTCTTAGATTGATGACCATTGGTACTGCCATTTCTACAAACCTTTAACATTTCTTAGCCACATAGATATGCTCAGTGCTATTGCATGGTGTCGAGTCCCTCTCCTGCGAGCTTTTGACACTATGGGGCCTTTAGAGGTGGGAGACTTCTATTTAGTTTCCAGCTTTCTAGGATGCCTTTCATCCCACAACACATCACTTTTCATACTGACCTGTGAATTTATGATTAGTGTTCCAAATGCTTACATGGATTCTTCTATTTGAGTTTCATAGATTTATTGAGACACATTCCTACAAAGATTCTTCATGACTCTTCTTCTTGTTTATTAACCATTCATTCATTGGTTTAAAGACTTGATCGTCCTTTTTGTTTTGGTTTGGGTTAGACACTTGTGAACTTTGAAATGCCTATGGAACACAGGATCCAAGTTATGTTTCCATGCTTTCATCATTTCATACTCAGCAACTGTATATCGATTCAAGTGTCTTTGTTGTATTATATATATATATATATATATATATATATATATATATTAT